TTACTTTAATAATTGGTTATCAACTTGCTATGAAGATTCGAAGGTATAAAAATATCGATTACAAGGGACATAAAATGGGTAGCGTCCCGTTTCCTGTGAGAAAAACACGAAACCGAAGCTTATGTGAGAGAAGAATGCATTTCATTGCCGAAGAAAATACTTAATATGAATCTGGGCTTCATTCGGGGAAATTTAGCTAGCAGTAGATATCCTGAAGATAGGCGAATATCTAGCGCCCTGAAGAAAACCTCCAATGTAGCAACACTAGAAGTGATATTCTCTAGCCACCTACTACTTATTAGCAATGTGAAGGAGAAACTTCCACGTGAAACCGACCATTCCAGTGTGCATATATCATTTAATATTCCCCTGTATGAGTTAGGTATATAGGTCGTTCTATGCGCATCCTTTTGAAACATCTCAGAGAACACTATCTGGCATGGTTTTAAGCGGGAGGAAGTGCTGTAATTGAACACCTCGTCAACATCGCAAATGACACATCATTCATAGTCATTTACAAAGTGAACACAGGTAATCTAAGAAAGTCTATGTTTCTGATTTCTTTAATCCTGCAGAAGCATATAGAACACCGGAGTTATGTGTTGAGAAGAAACTAGTTCGACCTCTATAGTCTGTTTGACACCTTAATTTTATTTTTTTGTTTGTATTTTCATTCCCTTCAAACTTTTATCTCCAATAATAAGAACAATAATTATTTCGCTTTGTTTCCATCACATCCCATTCGCACCTACCATAGTTGAAAACTAATTCACATATTGTGAAAAACTATTTTCTAATTGTGTAATCTGATCTATATTCACACCCTCAAAATTTTATTGTATCCAGGTGAAAATTATTATTTCAGTTTTACACACTACTGTCGAAGTTAGGGGTTAACTCTCTTTCCTTCTCTCTCTCTCTCTGTCCCTCTTGATTACTCAAAAGTATCCATAATTTTTCGAACGCTTCTCTTACTCTGACCTCTGTATTGTCAGTTCGCGATGTATATCATACACAAACCCCTAAAATTGCTACTCCTGTGAAGTAATGAAAAGAAGAGGCCTCTGTCTTTCTCTTTCATCTGACGTCCGATTAATATTCATTTCTTGTTCATGAAGGAACACTTTAGGTAAAACTGATAGTTTGGCTGTTAGGTAGAATGCGAGATGATTTTTCCTTCGCTAATTTAGAAAACGGTGCGTTGGTGGCACAGCGGTAGAATGCTTACCGACCACACAGGTGGCTTAGGGTTCGATCCACAGCCGACGCACTGACTCACCTCGCTAAGCCAGTACTAAGACTGGTGATGAGAGAAGGTTGGGGATGAGGCTAGCAACCCCATCCTGTAAAAATAATCACCACTGCTACAGAAACTTCATGCCTCTAGCTTGAAGCTCTAAGTTCCACTGGAAACATAAAGAAATAAAGAAAGCTAGAAAACGGCTCGTGAAAGGAGTAGTTGATCAACTGGAATTTTGATGTCCATAAATACATATGGATGATACATTTCTGATTATAAAAAAGCGAGAATGAAGCAAAGAACGTCCTTGGCAAGTTCAGACATGCGCTTTCAGTAATAAACTTTGCCAACAGAAGAAGAATTTATGAAAGTATTCCACTCCTAGACGTATTTCTTACCAAAGACACTAGAACGTAGTCAGTATGCGGGAAACCTACTATGACAGGTCAGTACACTCATTTTTAGAGTTTTGAAATATAAACGTAACCCTGTAAAGTGTCCAGTTCATAGATCTATGATAATCAGCTCAAATAACTTTCTCAATGAGGAGACTAAGGTTATCGCCAGACAATTACTTAGTAGAAATGGTCGTCCAGATAAGTGCATTGAGAAAAATATGAACTTGCCAACAAGGCTAGACATTGTGATAACAGCTCCGTGAAAACAGTTTTCCATCAAACTACAGTTCCATGGTGATGACATCAGCGAAACAGTAACACAGAGAGCACCTGAAGAACACAATTTAAAGAATGTTCATTACAAACACTGCAATTTTACTTTCGAGAGAAATAAGGATAAACTGCCTAATTTTGCGTCCTACATGTGTATCTACAAGTCTGAATGCTCCTGAGTAATTAGTTACATTGGGCGTACAAATAGGCAACGTTCTTCATCGTATTCCGCAAAACATCATCCTGCATAGTAGTTAAGCAAGGGAAAACAAGATCCATTCGTAGCTCTGTTTCACCTTACGCCTTGTAGACCGTGAGCAGAAAGTTGATGTTAATATACAGCATTTAAAGTTATACACAGCATTTCGAAATTTTTATTTTTTTTTATTACAGCTTGGTTACACACTGTATTTTTGGTACAAGTATGGAATTTTCAGCATGGATATCGGTAGCCCAAATTTTGCAGGCCTACCATAGATATCAGATGTGCGTCGGCAGGCGGTCGAACCTCGGACCATATGCATGGTCGGCGAGAGTCCTAACCACTGTGCCACCGATTCGTCTTCTGTGTATACACGGCTGAAGAAGTCAAACTTTTGTTTGTCTTCAAAAGAAATTCATACAGCCACTTTTCATCACCTTGACCGTCGTTACATGAATGTATAAATGGAACTACTTTGCCATTCCCCTAGGTGTTTCACAACTCATCATCGCCCAAATTACTTTATTTCCCTTTAATCACCCATTGCGTAATCCTGGGACACCTGATCGAAAAATCTCAACACCAGGCTAACCCAAAAACCAAATTCAAAGTCATCTACACAAAAGATACAGGAATTTTGCCTAGAGAGTACGAATCAAACTTCTTTAAACCAGAGAAGTGATGGTAATCCACGAGCATGCTACATCCTGAACTCTGAATGCAGAAATTAGTTCACTTTCACTAAATCTACAGTCGACTTGATCTGTCTTTACACTTATGCCTCATTTCTTGTTTTTGGCTTTTCTAAATTGTGTTATTCTCTTCCCTCATCATTTAAAAAAAAACTTTTGTACCTCTTATTACCACCTCTGTTCACTTGACTCTTTTTCAACCTTCCATTGAACTCCTCTACGCAATCCTGTTAATTATATGACGTCACTGAGTTTACGCATTTAATTTTATCTCAGTTTCTACCCGGTCGGCATGCGGTCTCTATGTTATGTCGTAACATACAATCCCAATGACAAATATCTTTGGAGGTATTCATTTTGGCGCTAAGGTAATCTACTATATATACATATATGAATCATTCTGCATAATGGTTAAGCAAGCGTTGCTGAAGCTTTACCCAATCAGACGAAGAACGAACCTGAGCTGGACAGGCATGCACGGAAGACAATTATTCGATCACTTTCTAGTATCATGGTAACAAGCTCAGTGTTGATTTCCACTCACTTGATTTTCACTTGTTTGTTTATTTTTCTAAATCCTTAGAACTCTCCATTATAGACAGGATTTTATTTTGATAAATCACGCAGTGTTGTACAGTAGTATTTACTGATGACATTTCGAGAACTCTTGTATTCAATATTTTCTTTTGTTTCTATGTGAACATCCTGATCACAACTCATGCATTCATTAAATTACACACCTTACTACGTAACTCTTATACCCTTTCTTATTCAACTCCTCTTCTGCATTGACTAACAATAACAACAATTCGTCACTTTTGTTAATACCTTCTTTCATAAAAAGAAATTTTATATAGATGTGATTGTACAGCTGAAAGTGGCGGGAGCCTCTTGCTTAGCCACCTGTCTTGTTTTCATTGCCACAGATGCTGATCTAACTAAACAGGAAACAATTTTCTTTGCGCTCAGTCGTTTTGTCCAAAAAATGGGGAATTACTTTCTGTGTTCCTAATTACATTCTGCCTAGTCAGTCATTTTATATTTAGGAAAACATTATCCTCATATCTGTATCGATTTAATTCAGCCACAGCTGGCTGTAGGACAAAGGCGCGTGTCAGGTGAGTGGTTCACACCAGAGAAAACAGAAAGGAGTAGGAAAAGATATGATATTCGTAATTGTGGTGGACTTGGTTATACGGGATACTCTAGGCGGATAGTGAGAAGACAGTGATTCGTTGGACCGATGGATGATATATGTCTAATGTCAGATAAGCTCAACGACCAACAGGTGAAACGAACAAGTTGACAGAAGAGGTCAGCTGGTAGTGAAGACAGGAATTCAAGTGAGCATAAGGGACATGAGGAAGATGAAAATAAATAAATAACAGCAACAGTGGTCATCAACAAGACAGCATCACCTCAACCACACAGGCAGTGAACATGGAAGAGGATGTCAAAGTGAGAATCCGAAAGACAAGGTAAACCTTCAACAATCTGAATTATGCGCTACAACATTAAGAACATGATTCGGATTTTGAACATCGATATTAAGTTAGCTACTTCTGCTATTATTTGTTAGAAACTTGGCCAGAGAGTCATGGAATGTATTTCCAATAGGCTGTTATCGTAGACTTTTGTCAACAGCTGCCTTGCATAGTTGGATACATACTGAAGTCAAAAAGGAATTAGAAATAAGAAACTCTGGGGAAGAAACTAACCTAGAACACTAATCGCCCAATAAATATGCAGAAGAAAATGGAGATGGGATAAATTGCGCGCACACACACACTGATCTGAAGAGGCTGTCGAATGAGAAATTGCACGGCAAACAGTCCACCGGTCAAGTAGAACCCCAATGGGAAACTACAGTGTCAGGCATGTTAGTCCGTGGGTGACATGAAGGAGGTTCTGTTGGGAGAGGATGAGATGACAGACAGTGAGCAAACATGGAGACAGCCAGCTGAATAGGATCAGGTAAAGATGTGCTTTAGCTGACGTCCAACGTTCCACCCGAAACCCAAGGGAAAGAATGATGAATAATAATCATAATAATAAATTAGGCTCTAAATAAAATAAAAAAAAACGCGAAAGTGATTAAGAGTATGTATAAAAATGATAAAATATTGACTTCAAACAACCACACATACACACACACACACAAAAGCCATCAGCAGTCATTGACAAGAAAGACGCATTCAGTCTGTCATTGGTGTTTCAATTTGATTTGTCTTTGATACTGCTGATGATTTTCCTGGAGGCATGGTTAATGGGATTGGATAGAATTTATGCCATTGTGAGATACATTGATCTTTCGATGCGATCACATGTTCCCAGTGCTCAACTTCATCTTCACTTGTATTGAATTTACCTATACGAGACACACACACAATAGAAAACAAATATGTGAATATTTTTTAAACCCTTTAAAAGTTAGCCTTTGGTTCAAACGTGGAATACTTGCCAGACAACTTACCATGCAACATGCAAGTGGTCCAGTGTTTGATTCCTGTACATAGAAGCATCATGCCTAACTTCGCCACTTGATATTTTTATGCTAGTAGCCCTAGTAAAGAGGGGAAGGATTGGGCGTACGCGACGCTAGAGACTTTCACGATCTTAAAGCGTTTGATGTACTCAGAGGCATGCAATCACCTAAACTTTGATGCGGCCTTCGTACTGATTGTGTATCTTCTGTTGTCCTCAGAAGTAGTGAGCATATTTTGTATTATCCTTTGACTAACACTTTCAGTGCTTCTTTTTCTAGTAATGTGGTACCTGATGCTCTGAAGAAAGATATTAAAATTACCTCAATACTTAAATCATGTGCTGGTATAAATGTTAAATTCAGATCGATTTTTTTAACTTTTCCTGTCCCAAAATTAATGGAAAAATTGCTTTGACCCAACTCTGAATTTTCCCTGAAAAGTTTCAGTGACCCTCAATAGTTTGCATACAAGCAGAGTAAATATACTTTAGGTGCTTCTGCTGTTCTACATCATAATATCTTTGATAAGGCTTTTAAAGTTATCTACCGTGTTCCACTGTCACAAAGCTATTATCATTGCTCCCTTGGGTTCCTAATGGAACATAGGCCTTCAACTGCACGTCTCCATTTGCTTCTGTCTTCTGCTGTACTTTTCGCCTGCATCCATGTTAGTCCATATTCTTTCAACTCCTCTTCACACGATCTCCTCCATGTCACCCTTGGACGTCCCACACGCCGCTTCCCTTTCGGGTTCCACTCGAGGGCTTGACGCGCGATGTCACCCAGCGGTCTCCTCAGCGAGTGTCCAATCCATCTCCACTTTCTCCTGCATATTTGTTGGGCGATTGGTTCTTGTTTTGTTTGTTTGTGCCCATAGTTTCTTGTTGGTGACTCTTTCCGGCCCGGCCATCTGATCTTCAGTATAGAGAGAAGACAGTTGTTAATAAAGGTCTGCAGCCTTTTGGAAATATTCTTTGTGACCCGTCAAGTTTCTGATCCGTAAAGAAGAACTGACTGACTTGACGTTTGTATTGAAAATCCGACCAAACTTTGTTGTTGATGCTGGCTGAGTGACGAAGATTTCCAGATTGATTTCAGGTTGATGAATGTGTTCCTCGCCTTCCCGATTCTCGATTTGACATCCTCGTCCGTTCCTCCTGTATTTGAGACAGTGCTCCTTAGATAAGTGAATGAAGTAACCTCTTTCAAATCCCTCCCGTTGATGGTGATTGACGTTGGATGTTGTCGCTGTTGTTGTTGGTTGGTTATTTTCATAACCTCCGTCTTGTCTATGTTTACCTGGAGTCCTGTCTTCGCCGACTGCTTCTTCGACCAGTTTGTCGGTTTTCGCTCGTAAGTCTTCGATTTTGTTTGTGTGACATCAAACATAAATGATCCACGCGCGAAATTCAGGTCTTCTAGGTTCTTCACGTCGGTCCAGGATATTCCTGTCTTCTCGTTTCCCACTGTCTGACGCATAATCCATTCAGTCCACCACAATTAGGAATATCATTGGTGATAATAAGCACCCTTGTCTGACTCCTGTGTTTACTCCAAACGCCTCGCTGAGTTTTCCGTTGTGGATCACTTGGCAGGTGCCGTTGTCGTACAGCTGTTGAATAAGGTTGATGAATATTTGGGGTACGCCATGGTACTCGAGTTTTTCCAAATTACTCCACGATCAACGCTGTCGAAGGCCTTCTCGAAGTCTATAAAGTTGAGGTGGAGGTTTGATCACCATTCCATGCTTTGTTCTGTGATGATGATGCATAGAGTTGCAATTTGGTCAGTACATGATTTGGCTTTCCCGAATGCAGCCAGCTTGTTCTGGTCGGAGTTCTGTCTCCAGTGCGTCCTTTAATCTCTCCAGGATGATGCGACTCAGGATTTTACTTGGCGTCGACAGGAGCATGATTCCTCGCCAGTTCTTTCAGAGTGAGGCCCAAGTCGCCCTTCTTTGGTAGTTTCACAAGGTAACCTTCCCTCCAGTCAGTAGGCACCTTTCCCTCCTTCCAGACCTTTTGCAATAATGGAGTCAGCATGTCTGCTGTAGTCTCTGGGTCCGCTTTCAGTGCTTCAGGGGGTATTCCATCTGGTCCGTCTGCTTTTCCAGCTTTCAGAAGTTTGACTGCGTTCAAGACTTCAGCTCTCGTTGGAGGATTGGTGTCAACTTGCAGTTGTGTGCGCGCTGTTGTTGGTTTTTCTGGACGGGTTGCAGGTGATGTTCGGTTCAAGAGTCCTTTGAAGTGATCCGCCCATTGTTTAATCTGTTTTTCTTCCTTGGTGATGATTGGGTTCCCTTGGCTGTCTTTTATAGGTTTCGCTTGTGTTGATCTCTTCACGGATAGAGATTTGGTTATCTGATATAGTGTCCTCAGGTCTCTTTCGCCTGCTGCCTTCTCAGCTTCAGTGGCGAGGTTGTCGTAGAATCGTCTTTTGTCCTTCCTAACACTCTTCTTCAATTTTTTGTCCAGTGATTTGTAAGTTGAGCTCAGCGTCTCCTTCTTCTGTCCATCCTTGTATTGAATCATTTTCTCTTTCACCATTCTCCTCTCTTCTATTAATTTCCAAGTGTCCGTTGAGAGCCATTCCTTGTCTTGTCTCTTCTTTCTTCCTAGAACCGTTGAACACGTTTCGTCGACAAAGCTATTGAAAACCATCGATAAGGAGTAGTGGAAAGCTTACAATTCACTCTTGAGGAGTACTTCCCCATCAAGTTTCGAGCCTGCAACCTGACAATATGTGAGTCTCGTACTCCACTAACAGATGATGATATTGACTGGTAATCAGGCTAAAACGAATGGATAGAAGTTCGGACTCATAGGTTATTCACTGGATAGAGTTTCAGCAGCTGAATGGTCGACGAACTCGCCTCATCACCCAGACGTTTCCTGGGTTTGAACCCCTACAGGACGAAGCAGCTGACCAGTACTTCCTGTCTGGTTTCCTTCCAATGGTTCTCTGACTGACGTCAAACCGTGATCAAATATGCAATAAAATTCCTGATTACGCAGAATGAGTTCACGTTTTACAATATTTGCCTGAAGCGATTGGAATCCACGCGTGAAGAAGCTAAATTTACGTGTTGACAAGCTTGTTTATAAATGCTTTCCCCATATGGAATGTCGCGCTTTAACGACACACTCCAATTTTACCCTGTTTTCTATTAAGCGTCTCTAGCTGACTGTCTTCACAGTCTTCTCCACACAAATATGGACCGAGGACCAGCTGATGTTCTGTCAGTTTGGATCCACTCTGGGTCCTGCATAGCACATAATGTCACTTAACAGGCTCCTCAGCATGTGTGTGCGACATTAGTGCTGGATCCTGTTGTTTATGCTGTGGAGTGCTGTAGTTTTTGACACTGATTTGAAGGTAATGAAGTTTTGTATTTCCTTTCCTTTTTTGGTTGACTTTGATATCCTCATTCCATTGCCGTCGTCCGTAGTTCAAATAGTGCAGTCTAGATTTGTAAAAATCTACTTTAAAGATAGTGATTGCCCCCTTTTTTGAGTCATAGGGTTTCTTCATCACCTCCATCTTTTCTGTGTTCACTTGAGGGCTCTTCGTTGCCAGCCCCTCCTAACAACTTATTGATTCTCGCCTTTAGATATCTGATTTTGTGCAACGCATTAGACATAAAATCAACAACGCTAGAAGTCCAGATCTTTTAGAGTCTTCTTGCCGATTCAGCACCGTTCCATCTTTTCACTCCTCACGCACAGTTCCAGTATAATCCAGTTCACCACAATTAGGAGTGTCATCGTCGGTGATAATAAGCATCAGCCTTGTCTTAATTCTGCCTTCATTTCCGCTGTAGATCACGTGGCATATGGCGGCATTGCCATATATTGCTATATTATCACATTGTTATTATTATTACCATTGGGGGCTTTAATAGAAACACGTCTTCATTTTGCCTCGTTCTCTGCAGTCAATTTTAGCTGGCTCCATTACTGCTAAACTCACGATCCTCTCTATGCCACCCGGGGACTCATACGTGCGACTCATCGCTTCCCATTTGGATTGCACATGAGAACCCTTCTGGCACGTGACATTGATCAATATTCTTTTCAGTGCATATCCAATCCTTGCTCCGCATTCTTTTGCACAGCTGTTGACCTATAGATTTTCGGTTGTTTCAGTCTCTGAATTCGTTTTCTCTTGTCATTTTTAGTCAGTCATCTGGTTTTTTCCTTGAAGGGCGGCGTGTTGGTAACGCTCTGATCAAGTTCCTGCAGTATTAGCAACAAGATACTGCATCACTGTGTGATATTTAAAATAAACTTATCTAATGTGGAATTATATTCCTACCACAGTGCCCAAATTCTGCATTTACACCGACAATGCAGTAACACACACAAAAAGAGTTGCTCACAGAAGATATTCAAGTATCGGATCATAGGGATTCAACTGATTGGGTAAAGGACTCCATCATAAGCTGACATCAGTGAGAAAACCATTGGCAAACCAAACAGAGAGTACTGGGCAACCGTTTCGTCCTGGTTTGAGACTCTTCATCAGTAGGCGCCCACCGGGGTTCGAACCCAGGACCTTACAGTTACTAGGCCAGCATGCTTGTAGACCATTCAGCCACTAGAACCCAACTCAATGACTAGTTCACGAATTTTAACTTCTGCCAATTAATGAAATCCTCCAACCAATCAAACAAAAAATCCTTACAAAACCATTGCTTGTGAAACACTATGAGTTCCTGATATTAGATGGTAGGAGGCATTCGGCCACAGGAGGCCTTGACTAACCTAGGTTTCATGCAAATTGGCAGTAACACACCAGTCAACAAGACGGATCTGCTACCACCTTAAAGGACTTCAGGTCCATTCTTAAAATAGAACCCATGTCAACCGGTAGAGTTCTACGGTCAGCTACTTAGGCTCGAGACACATGGTACGCGGCTACACTGCAAACCCGACTGACTGATAGCATTCAGTCTGCACCAGTACAAAGGACTAAACGCATTACACTAGTCACCAGTTAGTGTCTAGTCAATTTATCCAATACAGTCCTCCTACTGGAGGTCAGTCTCTCTAACCTGAATAGGTCAGTGGTCACGTCGTTGGCTTCAGGACTGCACTGGATGACACATATTCGAATCTCAAAGGGAACATTGTTAACTCCCTCAAGGTGGAAGATGAATATGGCTTACTGACTGGTGAGAGCCAACTAGCATGAAATCTAGGTCCGTTGGGGGCTTTCTATGGCCGCCTGCCTCCAACCATTTACCAAGTTTATAGGCTGCAGTGAACTCACATCACGTCACATTCGAAGTTACACTAAAACTGTTTTGTACATAAAATTAATTAATTTCTTTAGGCAGCTCACAAATAGCTAATGAGAAACCATAGAAGTAGAGTCGACATAGGTGGAAAATATGAAAGCCAACTAGTGAGGGTTGGAAAGCAAGACAAACTTGAAATGCCTGAGAAGGTCTACGACACTCATCATAGTGAATGACGATTGCAATCATCAGCAATAATGTCGAGAAAGCCTCCAACAGCGATGTCCACGAAGCGATCACGAAACTACTTCAACTCAATGAAGTGCAGTTACCAAATCTTTATCACGACCTCATTCAACAGTAATCCAAAAAGGAAAACGCAGCTAAGCCTTCAAAGTGAATGCATGAATACCTACTATCACCGGTGATCTTTCCGATTATGGAATGGATTATGAGAAAGCCTGTCGGAAGCGAGAAGTCAGGAATGCATTTTCGAGCACGGGCAATTTATGTCTAGTGTAGCATAAATTCGAAGACTTACAGGTGAAAACCATCAGGTTGACAGAAAGGCATACAGCGAAGGAAGGACTTCAAGGGAACATAGATAAGACGAATTTTATAAAGACAACCAATTAACGGTCAATAACAATAACAACAAGAATCAACTACTATCAACTGAATAAATTTTGAAACGAGGTGACTCATTCCACTCATTTAGAAGGGATCGTTTCAATTACAGTCGAAGGGACAGATGGAGGTATCAGAATCGAAATTAGAAAGGCAAGATAGAGCTTCATCATTCTAAAATCAGTGTGAATATCTTCTACGCTCCACTTGAGCATAAACAATAGAATTGATAGTTAGTTCTTCTATGCTGGTGAGATACTTGGACAGAGTGTTACTTTCAACAGGTGGCCGCTGCCTTTGTTGGCTTCATCCTGAAGATCAGATGGTCGGTTAGAATGAAAACTTGGTCAGAATCTCTGCTAACCAACCAACCAAGAACATATGGCTCAACACATATGTAGAGGAAAGTGGAGATAGTTTGGACACAGACTTCGGATGATATCGCACTCCAGACTATTGGTAGAATGTATCCCAGGTGGGAAATGATGACTTGAGAGTTTGTCTGAAGGTTAAATGGTGGGAGATCTGCTTCTTCTGAGGAGAAGAAGGCTTATGAGTAATCCTGCAGCCAGCGGAAATCAGGAGAAATTGGTGACGATCTGTTGAAGCTATTTGTTCCACTAGGAACTCAAGGGAACAACAATAAAACGTCGGTAAACGTCAACTCAGAGTTTTCATGTACTTTAAAGGCTAGGTGCGTCACAAAAGGTATTTTCAATACTGATTTTCCTTCAGTGATTTGATACAGAGTATTAGATAACCGGTTGACCAGAAAGGATCCGTGGAAATGAACTCGAACAGTTAATCAACCAAACAACCAACCAGCCATGAAGGTAATGCCCAAGGAATATGCAGAAGGAGTTAGAGCTAGGCGGATTGGTTGAACATACTCCCAGGAGATCGTTGAGTGACACCGCATATCATACAGAACCCCTAACCCACGCAAACATTTGAACATAAATAGGAAGTATTATGTTAGATATGTGTCGAATGGTGTGTCGCGGTGGGCTTGTAGGCAAACAGTTGGGTTCAACATTACCCTGGTAATACTCACCTATTTTACATGTTCCAATTGTTGCGCCTTTTCTCCGGATTGGTCGTCTTCTCATCAATTTCACTTCCAGTGTTATCTGATCAATTTGATAATGTTTTATAGCAAAGGCAATGTTTCATTCATGTGAATTGTTGACTGTCTTTCATGATATCCACTGTGAGTTTTAGCCAACTTTCCCTCCTCCTCAGTACGAATTACAATTTTGACAAAAATACCTGTGAAAATGAATCAAATATGTATAAAAAAAAACAAAATCATAAAGGCTGGATCAGTGATCCGTTCACTGAGAGTATATCGATCAAGTAATAATGATAATAATAATGTGGTAAATGTTTTAAACGTAGTTAATAACGATGATTATAATGATAACAAAATTATGGTATTAAGGTCTATGCAGGTTGCGATAAGAACAACGAAGTTAGCAATATGTTTCTATAAGCAGACAATTCAATAAATAAATTAGGCCAAATCTTAAAAGTTGCGTAATACTCAGGGTGAAGTGGATAGATAATCAGAGTTTAAATAAATACCATAAAAGTACGAAGGAAATGGAAAATAAGAAAGGGTGAGAGGGAGCTTCTCTTTGAATAACACTCTACCTAGACCACTTCTTATGCATTTATAAATTTAGTTGCTCCTGAGGAGAAAGCTGGCTATGTAGAATGAACAACTAGACAGCTTAACAAACGCATTAATGAGCATCTTCCTTCATGGTTCAGGAAAGGTCAAATAAAATCTATAAGATGTTCTATTTTGGCTCATTTGATTGATAGCGGTCACCAAGTGGACAAAAGTAGTGCCTTCAAAGTTATCTATCGCATTCCATCGAGTCTTTCGAACGGAATTCGAACCCGCCTGTTAAACACATAGCCGAAGCTGTGGGAATTAATCCGAGAGAACAATCCTAGTCTTTGTATACAACATGAGAAGTTTGTTCTACCTTTGGCCTGGGTAAATTTTAATTAAAAACTTTCCCCTCACGCCTTCTTAATTTCTGTTTCCTCTGCACTTTTATGATATTTATTTAAGCTGTGATTATCTCTCCACTTCACCTTTAGTATAACGTAACTTTTAAGATTTGACCTAATTTATTTATTCAGCTGTTTACGTAAACACACTACCTTCGTTTTTCTTATTGCCACCTGTATAAACCCCAGTATCATTATAATCATGGTGATTACTGGCGTGCAAAACATTTAACACTTATTATTGTTGACCTTATTATTAACATTTGATCCACAAATTCACAGTCGTTGATTAAATTCTTTTTATATGTAAAGCCATGTAAATTAGAGTGGAGCCTACAGAAGATCTGGTTGAAAACAACAATATCGTCCACTTATATATTTTCTTCTAATCTCATCAAGGGCAGTATTTATGAATCAATGATCCGAGCGAGAAGTAAATTGATTTTCAAAGATGAAATTGGATTCCATTAGGTCACAGCTCACAAAAACCATAAAATGATTCATTATGGTCCGATTTAACAATTTGAAGCCAATATGGAATCGGTCTAAAATCCACAAAAGGGGTCATATTTCACCGGCCTTGTTTGGAACACTTATACCTGTAGGCACAGTGTCACCCAAGTTATAGAGTTTATCAGAGATTCACTAAAACTGCTTGATATGTCTAGCTCACCATACCACTCGACTGCGAAATGGCTGGAGGAACTTTTACAGCTGTTACGTAAGAAACTTGTGAAAAATAGCGTAAAAAATAGTTTTGAGTTTGTAGAAAGAATCAAGGAATTAAATGTGAAGGACAAATATATGATCTGACTGGATGCATCTTCCTTATTCACCAGTGTGCCTTTCATGGAAACAATTGATTACATATGTAATGAATTGATGAAGCAAGGCATACAGAATGGAGTTCCTGTGTCTTCCCTAAAGGAACTTTTTTTAAGGTGTACAGTGAATGTAATCTCTCTGTCCAATAAAGAAATGTATAGATAATCAGATGGTGTTGTCATGGGATCACCATTAGGTGCAATTCCAGAGGAGTTTTCCCTGGGGAGGCCAGAGTGTGATTATCTTAAAGATGTAATATGTAATCTTGATTTCTATTGCCGACGTGTCATTGATACATTTATAGTTGTGAAGAAAAATTGAGACTAACATATATTGAATAAATTCGATAAAGCAAGGTCTGGCATAAGCTTCACTAAAAAAATAGGAAGAAAATGACTCTCTCCTTTTTGGACGTCTTAGTAGCTAAATGAACAGACGGAACAATATGTAGACGATTGCAGTGGACACCTACTTCATCTGGACAATATACTCACTTCCTGAGTTCCGTGCCTCTACATTTCAGACGTAATTTAGTTAAATGTCTGGCCAATTATTTCAAAGGAGGCTCTGAGCGAAGAACTCGGTAATATTCGCGATCTACTAAGTAGAAACGGATAATAACCAACTAAATTCGTCAACAAGCACATGAACTCAGAAAGTTAAAGTTGAAGTTGCCGACTTTCCCCAAAATGTCAGACTTTCTAAGATTACTTTTCACAGGTGATGTCAATAGTGAGGTCTTATCACAATATTTGAAAAGGGCCTTCAAAATGACTTTCAACGCAGCTAAGCTGTACTGTGTATTCACTAGTCGACCAGTATTTGGTTCAATAAATAAAGAGAGACTGCTCTGTTTCGCCTTATCCATGTGTATTTACCAGTTTAAGTTATATTGGGCGTACGATCACGCAAATTCTTTTTCTAATCGAGAATTGTGAAGAGATATTGATTGACTATACGCCAGTCAGACAGTCAGACGGCACTCGACCGACAGAGACTTGGTAGTTGGCCCAATGTTTTGGTATATAATGTTTCCACTATGCTATTTTGTATGACTGTTTTCATATATATATATATATATATATATATATATATACTAGTATTTACATTACCGTGAAGTACGAGAGATATGTGTCGGTGGCACAGTGGTTAGGACGCTCGCCGGCCATGCACATGTTCCGGGGTTTTATCCCCGGCTGATACACTTCTTTAACTTGCTAAGGCAGAAATATTGTCGGTAAAGAGGAAAGGTTGGGCATGAGGCTGGCTAGCAACTCCTTACTGTAAAATTATACATTGCTACAGAAACTTCAAGCCACTAGCTCGAGGCCCTATGTTCCACTGGGAAAGTGAGGGAAAAGAAGAGGAGATAGGAATACACTGGGCCGACAAGAAGACTCTATAAGACGTAGATTATGCATGAATGATTCTTATTCAATTCGAAGGTATAAGGACGAAACCCGAAAAGTTGACAGAAGAAGTTGGAGACGAGGATAAGACACTTCAGGTGAACATGGAGAAGATGGACAAGTGATACAGATGCTCGATGACATACGACGAACAACAGCAAACACTAATCCTTATCAAAGACAGAAATATGAACAAAGACGCTTTTCCTATTATAAAGTGACATATGAAGACATCGAAGCCAGTTAGGATTATCATCGGGTGCCTTTGCTCAGTATTTAAGATATCAGATGCCTAATATTTGAAGGGGCGGCTACAAGAAACTCTGGAAATTGCAGCCCCTGTATCTATTAAACATACTATTTCTTGGCCATTCACTTGCAGCTAAGAATACCCCCCCTTTCAATAGCTCCAACTACTTCTAGTCTAATAGAGAGAAAGAACACACATTATACTGTCTGAAATTTTTCCTTCTCTTCCTTTCTGGGCAGTACCTCTTCCAGTTTCCTGCCTTGCCACATTCAATTCATCAGTCTTTCCAGGCACTCATTCGTGGAGCTGCTGCTTCGCCCTTGTAATTTTGATTTTCCGTTTCCTTTCGTTTAATTTCGGAGACTCCTTTGAGGCTATCATTGTGCTGATCAGCTGTCTGGTCACCTTTGATAGCTAACCAATATCCATGGGTTGTGAAGAGTTGACCAGATGTAGTTGTTGAGAAATGTCGTCTGGAACGCTGTTAGTGAACTTGGAAGTCAATAACTGCGACATTGTCTCTTAATCCAATATGAATAGTGCACGATATAGTAGATTTGTCAGCTTTGCTGCCAACACCAACGGAACTCCCTCAGGTTCCAGCTTCGCGGCACGGAACTGCTCCATTGCTAGCTGCCTGCCCATTGGGTTGTCGAAATCCGCCGCAAGTCTTTCAGCCAATACCTCCAGATCTCATTATCACTTTGGTGGGCCGCCTTTGCCAACCTCTCAACAGCGTCCCCAGAACAACCATATTCGCCATCGGATCCTTGTTGTCCACCAACTCAGCAACAGCAGCGAAGTTCTACAGGAAGCTTCAGATGCCTCTTTCTTTGAAAGCAGCCGGTCTTGGAATCTACATTGTCTGGAGGCAGCCACACCAAATTAGACGGTAGAAGACAGGATATCTGGTAAGGCCTCCAAAGCCTCAGGATGGTCGGGGGTGGGTGTCTTGCGCTGCGGGTTGGCCACCCCTCCGTACACCTCTTGAAATGCTTCCATATGACCGTGCGTCTTACATAGCCTCTCCTGAGGAAGTCCTACTCACTGCCTTCACGTGGCGGAGGTGTTTCTCACCAAAGTGAGAGGGCAAAAGCGGATGCCCGGCGCTCTCCACCGGGTTGACTGTCCATTGGATGACAGTCTAGGGGAGATGGCTAAACCCTGATTCCAAACCTCCAACGACTGGCGTATGAAGCTCACCGGCAGACGTATGGACAAAGGGCTTGTTGGATGCCCTGGATGTCTGGCCCCATTCAAAAAGGCGAATGAACCGGACTCCGGTCACCAGCTGCCAATGGATAATGGACTCCCTACTCCACTCCTACTGCCTTGTAGGTCACACTTGGTTGTGTAAAGGCTAGAGCTGCACTCTCAAACAAAGGGCCGAGCGATGCTGGGGACATCACTCGTACCCAATTCCCATGAAACTTCATGGTTCATGAAGCCGGCTCATCCTCCCGTAGGAGATAGCCGAAGTAAAGTAAAGTAAAGTAAGTAAGGAGATGTTTACTTGGAAATTGATATCCCTATTATATAGGGAAGTTATGAGCAACCTATATTTGATGATCATCATTTGCACAGATCTTCTGTGTTGTGCTACTTCTACTCTTCGTATTGTATTTTTGTTTGTCTTCTTTTCGTGTCCCTTATGTTTCGTCACAATACACTGGTCGATTCATTTCCTCTCTCTTCAATGTTAGATGCGTCTATCTCTCTGCTATTTAATATTTTTGTGTGCTCATGAACGTCTCTTGGTATATATATATATATATATATATACTAGTAAATCTTGTCAGTAACACACTCCACACACCTACTGGCCGACAAGTATTCCGAAGAACAAATCGTGATAGAGATGACCGCACCCTGAGGAGGCCGATGAGGGCCACCCCGTGCCACCCCCTAGAGTGAAACGTCAATGGTAAACAACGAGTCGGGCGTCTGAGGAACACATAGAAGAGATGAGTACTTCTAGGCACTTTTGTGGCCAGCTGAAGAGGACCGTAGAGAACAAGATGAAGTTGGAATGTTCTCTTAAATCCCACTTGTTCCATCTAGAACTCAAGGGAATAATAACAATATCACCTTATTCGTGTGCGAGGATAACGCAAACATCAAACAGATAACAAAATATTTTAAGGGTGCAGCAAACTTTCAGGCAACAAGACTTACTTCGCTTCGGTATTCGATTTCCAACCCGTAAATCCACGAGTGTTATTTGTTGTAGACAGCATTCTAGCCGACCAGTGTCTGGATTCAATCGGAGGGAGAGTAGAACTTTTGGCAGCTGCACGTTTAAAGCAGTAATATTTTCATTCTCAGGACAAAGTGTGGGTCTGTCGACAGGTATGATTTGTAGATTCTGAGGTGCTTCTGAATCATTTGTTTCTTTTTGTAACTGAAAGATGTGAAAAAAGAGGTGGGGGGGGAATTTTGTTTGAATTAACAAACTATTTAGATATTATGTCATAATTTTACTACTGACTTGAGTCCTGAGTAAAATAACATTGGGCTTCAATGGCATAAGCTCCGTTCCACCCTATTCTCCGAAGTCTTCATATGCCCTGCCTTTATGATTACTAACCAACTTTTTGTGTTTTTTACAATTTAAGTTTCACTCAGAATCTGTCTGCCATGTGATTTCATCCAACAGTCTCCTCACAATATATCCCATCCATCTTCATTTTCCTTGGGCATATTTATTCGACAGCGAGTGAGATAGTTTTCCACACTGATTTCAGATGAATGAAGCTGTCTGTACGGCTTTACTGATTCCGCTGTATGACACCTATAGTTGAAATGCTTTATAGATAAGTAGAAGAGATAACTTCTTTGAATGTCTTCATCATCTCTGTCTGCTTAGTATTCACTTCAGGTCCTATCCTCATCTTCGACCAATTCCGATAAATTCTTGGTTTTCGCTGATAGATATTCTGGTTTATTGACATCGAACATAAATCGAACATAAATGTGCGTCGGTGGCACAGTGGTTAGGACTCCGCCGACCATGCAAATGGTCCGGGTTCGAGCCCGCATCGACGCACATCTGATATCTATGGTCGGCCTGCAAAATTTGGGCTACCGATATCCATGCTGAAAATTCCATACTTGTACCGAAAATACAGTGTGGAATCAAGCTGTAAATCAAAAAAAAAATAAAATAAAATAAAAAAAATAAAAAAAATCTTTACAGTCTTAACGTCGATTCAGCGGATTTCTTTCTTCTGACTCCCAATCCAGGTTTCGAACCCAGGATCAGTGAATCTTCTAGTTTGTATGACATTAGATATCGATTTTGAAACTACTGCTATCCACATCCAAGTAATTTTAAAACTAATGTTTATCTTGAATGACCCCTAAAAACTCATATGGATCAATCAATCAATAAACAGCAAAGTGCATCACGCTATTACCAGTTATATTATGACAAAGATCACATGATATGTTCTCGAAATTCTCGTCTTTCAAAAGAAGCTATGCGTAATTTGCAGAAAAATAAATTAGCTAAAACAATTAAGGAGGGTAAAGGCCATGAAATGATGTCACACCCTTATAAAAAATGTAAAAACTTGTGTATATTTTGAAGAAAAGTGGTCAATGGTAACTAGCTGCAGAATCCAGCAGTCCTACTTGGGACTCATCATCGGAGACTGCTGTATATCTCAATGAGTTAGGGGTGTTAACCTTTTTGTGTAAATTCAGAAATGTGTGTAGACTCATCGAAGTAAATTCTAACGTAGTGACCAATATTTTCGCTTCTGTCAATCCTAATTCATTCTTTTGTTTTCTGAGTGGAACATACAACTTCCTGGTTTCTGAAGTGCACCATTGGCTGTTGTGTTGCCTGTTTCTACGAAGTCGGGTTGTTAGACCTCTTATCAAGGCTCCCCATATTTCCAGTGTATACTAGCGGGCTAATCAATAAACTAAGCGAGATTAAGGAATGAGTCAACCGAAAACCGAAATCAGAAATTCTGGTTGGTTGGAGACTATTCCACCAATCAGCCAATCTCAGAATCATGCATTCACGGATTATACTTTGAGGAGGACTGTTGGATCTCTGTCGACTTGCTGGGTCCTAGTACAGAGGAAATCCAAAATCTAATTCTCACTAGTGACTGATTGCAGAACGACGTTCCGGGTCGGATAGGAGGACAAGTATTCGCCACTGATAACACTGGCTGGTGCCAGTTGCGCTAAAATCACCAATTGATAGAGATTTGTATTCATGCGGTTGCCATTGAATTGGATTCAGGTGACTGAATGGTGGTCAAAGAGTTCACCTTTTTGACCAGAAGGTGTCTTCATTTCGAAATGATGAGATTGTGGTGCTCTAACTAACACCAACCCATGATGATCAAACTTGAAACCATCCCGCCCCCCCACACGGCAAACTAATTCATGAAAATTCAGAGTGTGACTGTTTAGACAAATGACAGTTTATACCCTGAGCAATATTTGACTCAGGTGGCCTAATAGCTATTGCTTTAGATTTTGAGATGATTAGGCTGACTGGTTCACGTGTCAATGAGAGCAGCATTACTCACTCACTCACTCATTGGAATGTCTATACATTAGCTTGAAGAGTCTAGTTTAGGGTGAAACTCGTGTGGCAGTCATTCATGGACTGGTTTTTCTGGAGCCACCTTGCTTTTGGTACTCTGTAATTACAAGTATGATAAGCAATCTGACAGTCTCACTTTCTTAAGACACTGGCGCCTTCACAAATTTGGTAAACACGATTATTCGTCTGTGAAACTGTAGGATTCATCTATCCACAGATATCCATATACCTGATTAGAAAAACCTTCGTTCTATATCCTTACATGTGTCATATTCTCAAATCTGAGGTGAAGTTTCACTACACTTGACATCCCTTGGAAACTGATATGAATTCAGATTGCATACATCGTATATGTGACCCATTTGTGATAGGACGGCACTAGATTTGAGTGGTCACAAAGATGGAGGTGGTGAAGATAATCAACCAACCAACCAACACCAGGTATCAATAACTGTCAACGGGGACATGTGGAAGAGGTCACGTCCTTTTCTTATCCGGCCACTAAGTGTCGTCTCAATCATAAGGTGACAGCAAGGATGAGGATATACAAACCACCTAGGATCCAAAAGGCGAAACATACACTCATCTCTCTAAAATCGGCTTGAAAATCTTCTCTAATCTACTCCGGCATAAAGAAAAAAATTTGGATGATGTTCAACACCAATGCTAAGTCAGTCAGTTCTTCTGTGTGCGTCAGAAACTTGGCGCCATCGTCACAAGAAATATTTCCAATAGGCGAATTTGGGGGGGCAGAGATTGAGGGTAGTTTTTAGTTTCTGATTTCAGAAACGCGATTAATGCATTCATGGAATGCTAAAATAAGTTTAGGCTGCTCACTGAAAATACTTCCTGTGAAGACCATGACACCTTCGCAATTAAACCAAAAGTAAATAGTTGAAGGAACCGTTTTAAACTTTTGCATAAAATATTTAACCACTTAAATACTAAAATCAGTAGTGTAAATCTATTCATCAAAAATATTCTTACTAATTTTATACCACGGACTTGACTTCAATAGAGCAAGAACAGAAGTTTATGAAGAATACAAGATGTTACCAACATTGTTTATTTGGTTCGCTTGTTATCATTTGCTAACAGATTAGTGAAACCATTAGGCTAAGGTACAGAAACAGTTCTAATATACTTATCCAGAGTGTTCCGGTTGAACCAGCAAATCAATTTATGCATACACTGGTAATAATAATAATTACTTTGTTCAAAATAATAGTAGTCATACAGAATAGCATTTTCAGTGTTACGTAATTAAGCGGAAGAAACAGTAAAGGCGTCGAGTCACCAAGTAGAGAAAAGAAAGAATGATGATAACTGCTTTTTTCCGGACACACACATAAATCGGGTTTCTGGCGTTTAATGGAGATTGCTTCAGAAAATTTGAGCAGAATCGGGATATTTCGTCTACTTCATGAAATGTTTCAGGGAGATGCCCGACAATGGCACTAATTTGAGAGCATTTGTTCCCTTCACACTTAGAATTTTTGTAAAAGTTCAGAAAATAGGTGTGCGTGTGTGCTCTTCTTTCTGTTCTCTCTCAATGTAACTACTCTCGCAGATACATATATATTTGTAGACGCACAGCTACAGTAGTTAGCATGAGAAGCGTACCTATCGATTTTTGATTGGACCGAAAAGCATAATTTCAGATAGTCCGGAGATAACTTCACTGTAGAATGGGCTTTGGTTGGAGAAATATTCAATCTTCTAACAATTTTTTTCTGCAATGTTATCAACTTCAAAACTGAGTTGAATGAAGACAGGCTTTTTTGCATTGTGTTTTGTTAGGAATTTGAACCTTCATATCTTCCTCGCCTGTTACCACTGTATGCATATATAGATTTGTTGTTAAACTTGAACTCTCTGGTTAAGTGTGTTAAAATTGTTTCTATACCTGAACTTAACGGTGTCTTTGGTCTGTTAACAGTTGACAAGAAGCCAACTAAATAAACAATGATGGTACTTTTTTTATTCTGCACAACCTTTTTTTCTCTTGCTTTATTCAAGTTCATAAAGCAGAATAAATGTATGAGGTTTGTCAACTTACTTTCGTTGATGATAAAGGAGTCAGATATGCTGCATGCACATATTTCGGTTCAAAATGCAGTGTGAGAACATTTTCTGTGTTTAAATTTAACTTTTCCATTGGCAAAATGGCGTTACCGTAGGGGAATTCTTTACCGACTCCATAATGTCCAATGATTGTACAAAGCAGTGTTGATTGATGTATCGAGACTGTGAGATGAGAAAATTGGGGAAAGGATGGTGGTAACTAATTTTTCAATGAACAGATCAAAATTATGGAAAAATAGTTCAAGATTCAATCGTGATATGGAATTATGTAGTTCTAGTTATTGGTGATAGCATTGTTTTTTTTTGTGATTGCTTAAATCACTGGACTACGCCTAAAGTAGAAAAAGCAACACATCGTGCGAGCGAAGAAATATGCATTCCTTCTCAGTTGGCAGTTCTCATGATCGATTGGTTCTGGACTAATATGTAAATCGATTTTTACATCGAAATTTAACCAACCATATGGTGATTTTGGCTTGTCATTCTTAATTATAGGGAGAGGGTGTGTGAAGATTAAGGTGTTAAAAGTCATCAAACATCATTTAAGTAATAGATGTTAGTAACAAGATATCTATGTTTTGAGGGCGAGAAGTGAAAACTAATTAATTACGGAAATAAGTTAATTCGTAGGTGTAAGCGCAACAAGTTATTACACAATCAAGAAATTTGTTAAATAATAGAGATGATGACTAGGAAGAATAGCATGACTCAGAAGAATTACGTGAAATACAAACAAGTTAATAGAACTGCCCAGCGAGAACTGTAAAACTAACAACGTCAAAAGATAGTTACATAGGGAAGGGAAAATCGTTTTCAGTTGGTCATGGCAAAGCAAAGGACTGCACAAAATTCTTTCGAACATGCACACAGATTTGGCTTGTTAGTCATTTGGTGTGTGTGTGTGTGTGTGTAAAGTCGCACTGGTAGACCATGCATAACGTTCGGTGAAATACAACAGATAAGTAACTTTAAAAGCTTTGTTAGAGTCAACCTGATACCCTGTATCGAGATGTGCTAGTAGTGAGTTGCCTATAGCAGCTTCATTCGGAACTTCACCGAACCAAGATGGGAAGTGCTCAGAAATTCAACGATGAACTTGCCTGATGTATACGCCCCATGTAACTAGCTCCACACGGGTAGTTAAACTGGTAAATACACATGGAAGAGGCGAAGTAGGACAGGTCGTCTTTATTTCTTTAACTAAGTATTGATTGGCTAGTGAATATACAGCATAACTTAGCCGCTCTGAAAGTCCTTTCGATGAAGTCCCTTCTCAGACGTTGTGGTGAGATTCCCCTATTGACATCACCCATGAATTGCAATCTTAGGGAGACTGATCATTTGGAAAGCGTTGGTACCTTAGACATTTTACTTGTTGAGTTCATGTGTTTTTCCAAACATTTTGTCAGGCGTCCGTTTCTTTCAGTCTTCCTAAGATTGGAATTAACTTGTTTGTATTTTACGTAATTCTTCTGAGTTATCCTAATCCTCTTAGTCATAACTGTTATTTTACGAACGCCTAAAAATTAATTAACTTCTCATGAATTCTGTAATTATTCAGTTTTCACCCCTCTACCTCAAAACTTAGCTATCTTGTTACTAATATCTTTTAATAAATAATAAAATAAATAATTTTTCCTTCACGTTCCCACTGGAACATAGGGCTTCAAACTAGTGGCTTGAAGTTTCTGTAGCGGTGTTTATTGTTTTACAGGATGAGGTTGCTAGCCTCATGTCCTACCTTTCCTCTTTACCGACATTATTTCTGGCTTAGCGAAGTAAAGGAGTGCGGCGTCGGGCGGAGATCGAACCCCGGACCATATACATGGTCGGCGAGCGTCCTACAGCTGTGCCACTGACGCCTACTAACATCTATTAGTTCACTATTGTTTTTTTTAAATATGTAAATGGTAATTTGTAAATTTGTAAAAACACTGGCTATCCGGTTGAATCCTGGACTAACCAGATCTCTATCCAACAAGATGCATCATAATTTCTATAATTCTTATTATTTTGACCTCTTGGTTTTGTCCTTGGGCCTCGATATGTACTCAATTACCTTTCCTAATTGGGTTTCAGTTCTTTAGTGCATATTTCAAAAGAAATAATAATAACAATGGCTTAATTCTGGACAAAATATATACACACAGTGTACAGAATTCTCAGAATATATATTATTGTACGCTATATTTCCTTTTCATCGAGCATCTTCATGTAAAATAACAATCTGTAATACCTCATCATACTGTTGTGTTTACTACTGACAAGAATTACCTGTAGTATATACAGACTCAGATATTTAGGAAATAGCCAACATTGACAACAACACTTTAAGTCAGTTCCTACAGCAGAAGTAGAAGCGCTCACTTCTTAAATATGGATCTAGCTGCCTACGTTGTGGTCAAGAACTAATCTCAAGGAAGGCTTAACCTTCAAATAATCAGCAACCAATCAGAACAGTCTATTATCCTCTGACCTAGTCAACCATAAAGAGGATCAAAAATGTATAAATATAGTATGATTTTCTTGAATAAAGTGAGTCCATCATCAAGTTCGTTGCCTTCTCTTGTTACATACCTTAAACCCCTTCCGAACAATAATGGAAATAAGATAAAATTGACAGCTGCAGAGGAGAAAATGTTCTTTGCGATGAAATCATCATCGACTAGGCTGTACATTTATGAATACATATATATTTATATAACGATGGGGCAAGAAAGTTCCATGCCTATTTCCAGAGAACTCCATTGAAATGATGAACATCATCCTGAATAGTAATTAAGTTAGGGACAAACAAGGTACATATTTGCTTTCACTTTAGCACATACACTTAAAACCGTGCATCCGCATCTAAAACGCGTTCGGCGACACTATCCAGCCTGGTTATCAAAGGTGCAACCTAGGTGTGTGTGTTTATAGCTGGATAGTAGAACATCTCGTGAACTCAGGACAGTGCTGTAGCGTACTTGTCTGGCCATACCGTGAACTTTGAGAAGTCGGAATTTATGCACTGGTCATTGAATCGGATCAGGTCTCAGTGGCTCACTGATCTCCAAGCTCACCTTATATGGTCAGAAGGTGTTGGTAGTTCAAACCCAGTGTGGTAGACGCGTACTGCTGAAGGGGGATTCCAAACCAGAAGGGATGTAACATATGTTCAGTACTCCTTGGTGGTTTTCCAATGGTCCTCTAGCCGATGTCATTTTGCGATGAAATGATGTAACCAGTTCAATTCTCGCAAACCAACACCTGAATATTGCGTTTTAAATAGCTATTGTTAATCTTGTTATAATTTGTTATAATAATTTGACTTTCAACTGGGAAGTGAGTTCTGGCACTTTCTCATCACTCCGCTCTCTTTAAATGTCGGTATACGAATGTGCAGTCTAGTTGATGAAAACTTCACAGTGAAGGAAATTTTCTTCGCTGAAGTTGTCGTTCGATTATTTTCCCTATGAACCACCACCTCATAATTGTAAGAGTTTTTACTAAAATACACATTTAATGTACAGTTGACCTACAACAATGATAACAGCAGACAGAAAGATGGGATTACCATGAGCTCTCCCTTAGCTCTACTCTTGGTAGATCACTTTATGGCTACTTTGGAAAAGGGGGATCTTAAAATGAATAATGGACAAACTGCTGCCGTACACACGGTATGTTAACAATGTTTTTACAGTCTGCCATGAAGATTTCGATTTAAATTGTACCCTAAAAGAGTTTACCGATTGCCGTCCTTCAATTAAATTTACAATGGAATAGGAAAATGAATCGTACGTCGAATTGATAAGAAGAGATGATGGAATTTTGAAAAGACCTGTCCATAGGAAACCACCATGGGATTGGCCAGCTAACAAACTTCTATAGCCAGATACCTGACAGTCAAAAAAAATTTCATCATCTTATTGTCCTGCCGTATCAGAAGAATTTTTCAGAAGTGGCTGTTTAGGAAAAGAGCTCTCATTATTTCTGAGAAGCTTCCTGAGTCAAAATAGATACCCAGAACATTTTGTGATGAAGAATACGAAACCAAATCCAAAAAAAAGAGAAGAATGCAATTCAACACCCAAAGAAAACATTACCTGGCGGTAGATATTCTTGAGAGGAGAATCTCCAGTTCCATAAAATGATCTTTCCTGGAACAACTCTGAGAGTGAAATTCTTTAGCTACCAACTGCTTATAAGCATTGTGAAGGAGAAACTTCCGCATATGATCACTTCAGTGTGCACATATCAGTTCACCCGCTCTTATGCGGAGCCAGGTACATAGCTCGTTCTATACGGTCTTACAAGAACGCGTTAGAGAACACTACCTGACATGATTGCAAAGAGGGGACACTAGTTCAATCTGAAGAGACGTCATAATTGAACACTTCATCATCACCCCTTTCACACAACATCTCAACACTGACTCATCCATCATTCAAAGTCAGTTAAAAAGTAAACAAAACTTATCTGCCAAAGGTAGTGTGTTTCCTAGTCTCCTCTGTACTTCAGAATCGCTATCACCTTATGCATCAGAAAGCAAGAGCAGTGTGTTAAAAAGAAACTAGTCTAATCCTTACAACAATTACCATGGAAACAGTTCTGTTTGACTCCTTAGTTTTCGTTTTCTTCTCTTTTCATTCCCTTAATTTTCGCTTCCCATTTTCACTTATAAAGCAAATTACTTCAGTTGAATTTTAGATTTTACAGTCGATTGATTGGACCAAAATGCTCGGTCTCACGTTAACATATCGGCTTCTTGTGCAAATGCACTTCGCTGCAAGCAGTCGACGGGAAAATCGAAAATTCAATTCAATAATTAATATGACCCGTTGCACAAGAGGTGACTCTCGTGGCCCAAGTGGTCTAGTGGACAACGTTTTGGAGTTTGAAACAATGGGAACTGGGTTCCAGCCTAGGTGGGAACATCATCACTCACTGAGAAATGCAGGTACATCCAGCTGACGAGTCCCAAATAGGACGAAATGACTATCTTGAATTCCACTGCTAGTCATACATCATCCACCCGTTAACTTCTAAAAATTGCTTAACTTTGTTTCCATGCTCACCCCGTTCAAATCAAAACTATCTTACATTCCTTCGCAATTTTATTTCTAACTTCGTCGTAATCTAAATTCACAGCTTTGAACTTTCATAATATCAAGTTGAAATATATATTATAACCTTCAGTCTCCCTTCATTATTATGTGATGTTGTCTACATAAATGCGATTGTCCAGCTTCGTTCTATGAATGAAATCACCGAAATTGATGAAAATTTCTGCAGAACTTCTTCTTGTGCGTCGGTGGCAGAGTGGTTAGGACTCTCGCCAACCATGCACATGGTACGGGGTTCGAGCCCGCACCGACGCACACCTGATATCTATGGTCGGCCTGTAAAATTTGGGCTACCGATATCCATGCTGAAAATTCCATACTCGTACCAAAAATACAGTGTGGAATCAAGCTGTAAATCAAAAATAAAAAAATAAAAAAAAAATAAAAATAAAAAATTGTTCTTTTCTCTATCTCTAATGTCATGATGGGTATTTTTCACACCATAAATATTCAATAATCACCTCACCGAACACAAGTTGAACTTACTCAAAGGGATATTAAACGTCCATTGTTCTAAAAATTCAGGATTTGGAGCCGTCCGTAGCTTACTCTTCCATTGGCGTTCACTATCCGGTAATACGCACAAATAAATCTTTATCGGAGAAAAATAGGAAACAGGTGAAACTTTACTATTATTATTATTATTATAACGAAGTTGGTGTATTATAGGTTCTGACAGAGAGAGAGGTGTAACATAAAATCTCATAGTCTCTGTGATGATTATGATATTTACTCCTAGACGCCCAAACTGAAATAAGGTTGTTTGTATCAAGAAACCACTCCCCTTGATATAAGGATAAAACTTGGGCGCTATGGTAGAGTGTAATTCCATTATGGATAGAATTTTATTTTGAAAAAGTTACATCTTGATATGATTATGAGCAGGAATAAATTGTGCTCCAAACGTCACCAGTAATTATTACTGCATAACACTGTGTGAATTTATCCATAAGAATTTTTATCCATAATGGAAATGTAACAGCAGAGGGCAAGACACGAAATTCAAGGTATACATTTTCAATTGATCAAACCGCTATTTATATGTATACAGTTTGTATTCTTTAAACAGTTATCGAATGTGGGAATTCGGTTTACATAAAACGATCTGAAATAGAGCGTTCAAATGCATACACAGTATTCTGTTGCTAATGCAGTACTGACTGTAGGAGCATATGAGAATAATATTCCATTGCCACACATTGTCCGTATCCAACCGCCACAGAACCACTCCTTTTCCTAAGACTCTGATTTGGAGTTTGATTCACGAGGCAACGAATGGAGCAGTACCAGGAACAGTTACTCTTCATGCTTGCCGGTGATTAAAAGACTTTTATATGCAGTTTTGATACACTCTTATTCTGGAGTCTAGGTACGCTGTGATGACATTATTATTCCAATAGGTTCCGAGTGGAACATAGGACTTGAACAGCATGCCTCCACTCTCTTCTCTTTTGCACCCGATTTCATTCAACGATCTCCCCTACGTGCACCTAATCCATTCACCTCTATTTTCTGGAGTGACAGGTTCTTGGTTAGCTGTTCTTACAGTTTCATGTGGCTAATTAGAGCTCCACTATGGAGCCATTGAAGGTGGCAGCTACCATATTAATAAGATTACAAGTAGGGATTAACATATAATTACAGTAACAAAATGAGGAGGAAGATAAGGAAGGTAATTGGGATAATTACTATGGGAAAAATTGGCTTATTATCATAACCGTGGTAGAGATAAATAGGCGGACAGATGATTTCCCTCGTTTTTGGTGAGAGAGACAGAAATTTGAAGATTATTAAACTGTCCATCATTTGTAAGTATACTGCCCACGGATATCCTCAATGAGTTATCGACATTTCTTTGTAGCTGAAAAGCGATGGAACGTGATATTTTTTTGTCATCACAAATCATCACTATAATTTTGGCAATTTAAATTGTGCTACTGAATTAAGAATATTAGTAACAAATAATAATCAACAAAATTATTATGAACTCGCGTGTCTGTTAGAAGATCTGCAACTATGCATTGGTATAACTGTTATGCTGGCGTACGCTAAGTTTATTGGCAAGCTTATTTCAGAGGTTTTATGATGACATCACAAAAGCAGGTTGCTTACAGTGAAGCCTCTGAAGTGAAGACAGGAGAGCAAGACGAGGCTGACTGCCATCAACAATAACAATAATCTGCTTTATTTCGAAAAACAGAACATATGATACAATGTAGAATTCTCGGCATTTGGTAAAATATTGTATCTCATTTAGTCGACAACACCGGAAACTAATATAAAAAGTTATATTACACGACTGATAATGTTAGCAGTGACAATAAAATCAACAATATACAAAAAGTGTAAAATAGTAATGATAATAATAATGTTAATAGCTAAAATTACAAGTTAATTGAAACAGTGTTACCATAGATCATAAATAGGGGAAGATCAAAGCGCCGATGGTTTTTCTAAATGCGTAGTAAATTGCTATAAGTTCCACGCTTATTACTTTCTGTATCATAAATGACACGGGCGTGAGGGCGCACCAGATTGGGTATCGATGAATTCTGGAGTCAGGGAAAGTTTGTTTAACAAAAACGGCATCTGGTTACAGAGTCAAAAGCAAATATATAGTCAGTAAAGGGCAGAGCGAACATATTTTGTCCCTTTGTCTAAGGAAGAGACAATGTTATACAATGTAAGGCAGCAGTAGCATCCAAATAACGTCTGTCCCGTTAATAAGCAAAGGAAACACAGGGCTAAACACTTCAAAAGACTTCTAAATAGACCGCCACCTACAGCGCGCTGAATAATACCAACAGCGGAAACAGAACTATCAGTGGACATCAAACCTACGGCGAAAACAGATATTTTGAAGGCGATAAAGATGCTAAAACTGGAAAAGTAGTAGGAACTGGCGAAATAGCAGCAGGAGCTTTGAGAATGAACCCACAGACATCAGCAGACTTGATGTCACCACTACTGGAGAACTGTGGAAAGAGGGAAAGGTACCTGCGGGTGGAGAGAAAAGTTACTTATCGAAATCGCCAAAGTAAGGGAACCTGGATCAATGCAAGAACTGGTGTACCATTATTCTCTATACCAAGCAAAATACTAAGCCGCATCATCCTGGAGAGAATCAAACAAGCCCTGAATGATAAAGTTCCCCCGGAGCAGGCTGGATTCAGAAGAAACAAGACATGCGTCAAACAAATCGCAGCGCTGTGGATGATCATCAAACGGAGCTTTGAATGGCAGTTAGTCAGCTCTCTCCCTCAACTTCATCGACTTTGAAAAGGCCTTCGACAGCGTCGATCGAGAGGTCATTTGGCGACTACTTCGCTACTACGGGGTTCCACCAACAATTATACATCTCATCCAACAGTCATACGACAATGCTGCATGCAAAGTAATCCACAACGGGAAACTTACGGAAGCCTTTTGAAGTGAGGACGGGAGTGCAACAAGGCTTCCTACTATCACCGATGATCTTCCTGATTGCAGTAGATTGGATAATGAGACAGACAGCGGCGGGCAATGAGGAAACAGGCATAAAATGGACTCACACAAAATAGGCAGCCTGCTTAAACCTTGGGCTACCAAAATTTTCTGTCACTTATATTGCATCTGATTACTTGGATTTATTTTGCATAACTGTATAACTGTCAAATGTCTACCTAAACACCTATCTAAATACAAATTCATTTATATCACAAACATTTATGTCACACCTTGCTGTGGTACTTCAGAACTGTCTATGTTTGCTGATGAATTTACTATTTTCGCTGTCTTCTCTTTCGGAAACTCATTGTCCATAGTCACAGGTGATTTTAATTCATGTGACTACAGCTTTCTCACAGTGCTAGATCATGAAAATGTCGTCAACTTTCCCACCAGACTGGATAATTCCCTTGATCTTGTATTTATAAATGACCGTAGAATATACGAAGCTCGTAAAAGAACCCCACTCTTTAACTCAGATCATTGTATTGTACTGGTTTTACCTAAAATTTATGGAAAATTACACAAGAGAACTTTTTCACACCTCTCCAAGAAAACTGTACATGTATGTTACTCTAAAGAGAATGTTCAGAATCTTAGGGGCATGCTCAAAGACACAAGGTGGGACCTGTTTAATGAAGATTCTCTTGATGACACAATCTCTAATATTACAAGTTATCTCAAATTTTGTCTTGACACCTGTTGTCCCAGAGAAACGCTATTCATCAAATTTGACCGTTTCTCCTCCCCTCAACTTAAAATGATTCGCAGACAAAAAGAAAAGCTCTATAAAATGAAGGATAATACTGGTTTGAAAAGAATTAACATCCTAATAAAATCTGAAATGCACAGGTTGAATTCAATTTACAACCAAAAGTTTATATCCTGTAAGAATGCGTCTAATATATGGAAAATTTTTAAAGAAATTACTGGTGGCAAGCAGATGAATACTATTCCTTATTCCTTTGATGTTTGCACACTAAACAAGCCTTTCATATATTCTCCCACAAATACCAAACTTTCTAGTGTTACAAGTGTTAATGAAACCTGCCTCCCTGGTTTCAATACAAATGATGTTCAAAAATGTCTCCAGTCTCTGAACCCTTCTTGTGGCTTGGATCCAGATGGTTCGCCTAGTGTTATTCTTTAAAAATGTGCAGACATCCTGTGTTATGCTCTCATGGATATATTTAACGAATCTTTTTCCAGGAATGTCATGCCAGCCGTTTGGAAGGACATCAAAATTGTACCTATCCCTAAGTCGTCTACTGGAGCACGTCTCCTTTTCTAAAAGCTATGGAAAAGTTACTCCTACTTAATTTTCAACCTTCACTTAAAGCCTTTAACGATCCTAAACAATTCGCTTATAAACACAGCAGAAGTACTTTAGATGCAGTTGCAGTCTTGTACTATAACACTGTCTCCAGCTTAGACAAGGGGGCTGAATTTGTTCGTCGCACCTTCCTAGATTACACATCTGTTTTCGACTCAGTACCTAGGGACATTTTGTTAAACAAGCTGGCCGAAACTCAAACTGACTGTCGGGTTGTCAAATGGCTGTATTCTTATTTTTCAGGAAGAAAGCAGTACACTGTATGTCATGGAAAGTCATCCACTTCTTTGCTTACTGAGGCTGGTGTCCCTCAAGGCGCTGTCCTTTCTCCTTTTCTGTTTTCTTTCTTCTTGCATGACTTGCCTCATTCTGATGAAATGAACTTTGTTAAGTAGGCGGACGATCTAGCTATTTCAACGTCTGTTAACTCTTAGCTTGACTGTGCTAAGATGAACAGCTTTCTATCAGGAATTAGCAAATGGTCTTCGTGTAACGGCCTTAAACTAAATCCTTCCAAATGCCAGACTGTTAATTTCAGTTTCGGATGTAAACGAAAGTTAGATGAAGCTGTTGGTTCCTATGACCCTTGCAAAATTGATGACACTGATGTAGAAACCAAGTCTGAAGTTAAGTATCTTGGATTAATTCTTTCTTCTGACCTATCCTGGTCTTCCCATGTCTCAGAGATTTCTAAAAGAATATTTCGTCTGACTTTTTACATTAAGAAGTTAAGGCACTCAGGCATATCCCAACCCCTCTTCTTACAGTTTGTCAACTCGCGTATTTTACCTATTCTTCTTTACTGTTCACCCTTATTCTTTCCTGGATTGCTAAAAAAAGTCTGTCATAATTCGTAGAACTCTGAAGACTGTCAGTAGGACGAGTTGTATCCCATTGGACCATATCGTTGAGATTGTCACTGATTGACACTTGATTTCATGCAAGAAATTTGCTAAAGGATTTTTGTCAGACTCTGAGCACCCACTCTACCCGCAGCTCCAACCTTGTGTCTCCTCAGGTAAAACAAGAAGTCTTTTTAGGAGAATTTACGCACGTACGTCTTAGTATAAAAATTCCACTATACCCTATTTAGCACGTACTTTATGTGATGAAAATAGTGTCAGGCATGAACTAACTAACCTTCTTCGCACTACTAAGTAAACAAACTATTTCCTCCACCCTTACAGCACCAAACTTGATTGTTATTGTATTTCTTATATTTATAATCCTATAAATTTTTTGTTTTTATTTATTTATTTTTCATAATTGTGAACATCAACAGAACATTAGATTCAATATTTTATAGTAACATGCTAAAATTTTCAAACTGAATAGAAACAAACTCATTGCTATTATTATTTTTACTATTATTATTATTATAAATATTTAATGACCTCAATTCGTGCTTAAAAAATATTTTTTGACTTTATATCGTAAGCGTGGACAAATTCCTCTGGTTGCTTTTGTTTTAATTTTTAATTTTATTTATATTTTGAGTAAATCATTTGCAATATTGTGACAAATGCTGAGAATTCCATTCTGTATTATAAGTACTGTTTTGGAATAAAGTAAAATAAATTATTAAATTATTAAAATACTTGGAGGATCTGGAGTTCGCCGATGATATATGTCTGATTTCCCACAAACTAAAAGATATGCAAGTCAAAAGCAACAAGTTGGCCAAAGAAGCATCCGGAGAAGATAGGACTTCAAGCGAACATAGATAAAACAGAGGTGATGAAGATTCCTGGCCAAAAGCAACAACAACAAACAACAATCAGCATACATGGGGGGAACCTGAAAGAAACAACCTCCTTTACTTACCTTGGAATCATCGTTTCAACTACAGGCGGAACTGACGAGGATATCAAAGCAAGGTTCGGGAAAGGAGGACAAGCCTTCATTCCTCTCAAGTATGTGTGGAGGTCAACAGCACTCAGCATGAAGACGAAAATAAGATCCGGATTTTCAACTCCAATGTGAAGTCAGTCAGTGCTACTTACCATACGGATCAGAGAATTGGCCAGAGCGTCACGAAGGGCATTTCGAACGAACTACAGACATTCATCAGCAGTCTGTCTTCGCTCAATACTCAAGATCGGATGTCCAGAAAAGATCAGCAACAGGGATCTCTGGGAGTGAACCAACCAGGAACCGGTTGTGCAACACATTTGCAAGAAGAAATGGAGGTGAATCGGTCATACTCTTAGAAAACCACCAAACTGATCACATAGCAGGCTTTCTGTCGTGTGAAACCCGAACGGGAAGCAGAGAGTTGGTAGTCCGAGGGTGACGTGGAGGAAGTCATGTGAAGTGGAGATGGAAGCATGTGGGCAGACGTGGAGCCAGGTGAAAACGTTGATGGATAACCTAACTCACTGGAGGCGTGCGGCTGAGACGTGCTTACTAGAGAAATAATTATCTGTGTGAAAAACCTCAGAAAGTTAAGCCATATATAAAAGAATCAAAGAAAAACATTTGCCCAATCAGGTTGTATACGTGTAAAATCATGGCTTCGCACGGCTAATTGCAGAGCTTGTGCGTTCTACCAAAATAGGAAGCGAAGAGGGAACTTAAGGTGAACACAGAGAAGATGGAAATGATGAAGATGCTCTCAACACACAGAAAAACAAATACCAGTTTTAAATTAGCCTTCAGATTCACTTTTTTCGTGAGTATGAGTGTGATATCAAGTGGACCATTTTTTGAAGAGGAAATAATAGAATAAAGACAGACATTTGTGGAGACAGCTTTGAATGACGATAGGGAAGAGAATACATTGGTGGTATTAGTTAATCCATAATTAAATGTTCCATCCGTAACAAACACACTCAGTGGTTTAGTGATACGATGAATATTCATTGAACCATTTATCTGAATCATTCTCATCTAGATCATTCACTGTTCAAATAACTATGCTCTGAAATCTTTTCAGTATGCTCACATATAACTGCGGTGACTCGGGCAAGTTTTCATGGAGAATGAGTATCCTTCAAGATTCATTGCGAAACAAAATTAAGGTAAAGCGAAAGCCCCGACGAATCCAGATGATATCGATCAAACAGCTATTCATGAACGTTGAACTTTAAGGTAATTATTATATTATATTATTATTGTATCCTTTAGTTCCTAGAGGAACATAGGGCTTCAGCTGCGCACCTCCATTGACTTCGGTTGCCTGACAACTTTTTCACCCTGCTTCAGGTCTGTCCACATGCTTTCATCTCCTCCTCCTCGCATGACCTCCTCCAAGTCACCCTTGCAGTGACGACCAACTCGCCGCTTCCCTTTCGGGTTCCACTCGAGCAATGGCTTGTCTAGTGATGTCACTTGATGGTTTCCTCAGCGTATGGCCAATCCAATCCATCTCCATTTCTTTCTGCCTATTTGTTTCACAATCGGTTCCTGATTGGTTCGCTCATTCCCAGAGATCCCTGTTGCTGATCTTTTCTGGCTGGCCATCTGATATTGAGTATTGAGCGGAGACAGCTGTTAATGAAGGTCTGTAGTTTGTTTGAGATGCTCTTTATGACGCGCTGGCCAGGTCTCTGATCCGTATAGTAGCACTGACTTCACATTGGAGTTGAAAATCTAGAAAAACTACTTATCCAACCAGATCACTGAGAAAAGCTTCTTTTCGGCTGAGGCACGGATCAGTTTTTACGGTTCGCAATTGATCAGTGGATGTGTAAAGACTAAGGTGCCACTTTCGATGGGCCGTTTCATTGTATTTATGTCAATTCTCTTGTTCCTGTGGAGTCAGTTATAGTTGATTGGCTGAAGGATTTCATCAGTTATATTTGCCACATAAACAAACACTCTCCAGACGCATCTCTAAACAATGTATGACATGGTTACAGAAAAGACAATGCAAAACATTTAGTAGTTCAATTCTCTAGCACTCGATGAAATCAGGCAGCGCGGCTCCACAGGAGTCGTCTTTTAACATTATCTACAAGGTGAGACCGGATGGTACAGTTGGTATCAGGTTTCGGGATTTGTGTATGATGAAGGAGCTGAAGATTCGTCACTAGAACCCCAAACGTTGATCCAGTCTCTTATTCTACCACGGTTTCAATCTCTTCACCACTAATCGTTCGCTGTTATTTCTGATTTATATTTTTAATGATTGCTTTTATTTTAATAATTAATTCACTGTTATCACTCTCACATATTTCTTTTGTGCATTTTATCACCATCTACACACCTGCTAAATGTACACTCATTTCTTCCTAGTCAATATTAATTCGGACCTTCTCGAATTTATTGCATTTCCTTCCTTTGTGCCACTGAGTGTTATGTAATTTATAAATTTTGAAGCGACTTCCGGGTAATCATATCAATTATGTCACACACACCCCACCTTATTACTCAACATTTGGATCCTATACATGTTCCGGTAAATATAAATACGACTGAACAGTCTCTGAAGATGATTTCGTCGACAAAAAAATTTCCTTCGCTGAACTGTGCTTTGTTTTCTTCATGACTGAATGAGTATTTTCTATGACAGAGCAAACTTTTCGCATTGTTTAATCATACTACTAACAAGTAGTATCCCTGATTACAAGCAAAAAGTTAGAGAAAGCGCGAACACCACCTACCTGATAGGCTGGAGGTCCACCAGAATCGGCTCCTGGGATATCATTCGCTCGGATGACATTCACTTGCATTTCTTGGTCAGCATCACTATAAGAAATCGCCAATTGAAGGCGGCTTGAATACTGAAATGTACATATGAGAAGTAAATTTGAACGATTTATTTCGTTACCATGGTCTTGATTTTATTTTGTAATTCACAAATGAATTCTTTGTTATCCTTATTTATTCTATGCCCCAATTTTGTTTTATATTATTTAACTTTATGTTACTACACTTTAACATTTCGTTCAGTCTACCACTACTTTAACAACATTTCACACATCTTATTTCGTCTCCATCATATCACATTCACATATTCTCATTGGGGATTAATTAAAAAGTAAATCGTTATCTCAGGTTTCTCGTAATCATCCATAAACGACTTGCTATGGCCGAAGGCGGTTACACTCCAGTATTGCTGTCTCATGTGGCGGCAGTAAGGTAACTGACTCCGCCAAATGAGTTTACCTTTTCATTGCTGCCTACTTGGAGTGTGCGCAGTCTCTCCTCAGAAAAGTGTAAGGGATTATGCTAAGGTTTAGTGATGGATAACTAAGATTCTACACGTTTGGTGTGTACATGGGATAGGAATCGACTTAAAATACTAATCAGCGTATGAATTGCAATGTCAATGGATGACTGTAAACGTTCATCATCTTCTTCTCTTACCTTGGTCCTGGTCCAGTCGTCAACCAATCATAATATTAACATCTCTCCGATCGAGCCGAATCGCCTACCAATCAGAACAATCTATATTCCACTGCCATGATCCAATTTTAATGTGGTTAGAAAATATGTGTAATTATGACGTGATTTTCCCTAATAAAAATGTTGTATCCAAACAGTCACAGGCCAATCTTTGTCTTCTCCATAATCACGTGGTTCAGTGAAGTGTGAGGCACTATCGACGAATAGGTGTATTTAGCACATCAGTTGAGTTGCTAATTCAGACATTATTACTATGCCATGGCAAACTGGGAACGAGTTCATTTCAACTGGAGGCATGAATAATAACACATTATGAGTAGTTGTATCCGAATATTTATATCAGTAAATAAGTAGTGTATGCCACAGTTATAGCAATATACCTAGATGCAAGCTTTGGACCATGAAATTTCAGCAATTGTGGTTTATTCTCTTTCTTTGTATGCGAGAAATGGGACTAATAGCACCACGTTGGCGAACCGTCAATCATTTCAGGTCTGACTGACGACTAGGTGGTGAGGCTTAAAAGTGCGTTGTCGGCAGGATATGAATATTTCGGACTATTCTACCACCACAATTGAAAATTGATTTGATGCTCAATAGCAGCTTAGTGACTACGGGAGAAGACGAATTCGCCTGGCGTTGCCTAGTAAGAAAACGTGACTAGTTCGGAGTCCACTTAGTCAGTTGTCGGAAGTGAGGCTGTTGGTGGCAGTCGCGCTAATATCACCACGAATTGCTGTAAGGGTAACTATTCATCGGCTGTTCATTGAATCGGGCGGATCCCAATCGGCAACTGAATGGTCCACAAGCTTTCCATGGTGCAACTGTAAGATTCCCTGGGTTCAAGTCCCTGTGATGGGGATAGTAATGGTAGATAATTTCAACTAAGGTGACAAATCAGCCGAAGTCCAGTACCCCCTAGCCGGTTCTGTAAAATAAAATTGGTGACTAACCGGTAAAATAAACGACTGAATATCATCATCATCATTTTGATCGTAGCCACAATCATGGTGATCACCATCACTTAAAATGTCTTGTTTGTCTTCACCAGAATAATACCCTTCTCCACCGTCTGAATCCTCATCTATCGAGTCTATTTCACTTGTCATTCTTTTTAGTTGGGCAGCATATTCTTCCAAAGGTAAAATTTTCGGCTTTCCATCATCACCGGCATCTGTTGACGATGCATTCTTTCCCTTTTTATTCAACTTTGTATTCTGTTTTGTATTGTTTAAACTATCAGAACTTAACTCGCTAATATCGTCTGCTGCTGGTAAAGGAAACAAAATAAAAAAAAAGAAATGGGAAAAACAAAAATGGAAATACTTCTATTATTCAAATGTAATAATTCAATAAATGCCATCAGGAAATCTACAAAACAGTTAGTCGTGGAAAAAAAACTAGTAGTGTGTTAACAGGTATTGAATTCAGAATACAGAAATGCACACACACACACACACAAACACACCATAAAACAACATTCTGAGTGTTAAACAGAGGGTTTAAGGTTAGCGAAGTCATTTAAAAATAGACATCCCACTTCATTCAGCAATACATATCCATTTAGTGGCTGTTCAGGGTTATATTTAATGCTGAAATACACATAAAAGTTGCAAATTTAGAAGAGTAGGATTTTTGGTGCAGTAGTATGAAGTGCCCTAAATTCTCAATAACCTTATGCAACAGCCGGACACATATCAGTGACGCCTGTCAGATGATTTTTACAAGGGCAAACTCACTGGAGTTTTTGAAGTTAGCAAAGACAGGAGTAAAACAAGACTGCTGCCCACTATCACCAACGATGATATTCCTAATTGTGTTGCAATGAATTATGCGTCAGACCGCGTGGGGAGTGAGAAGATGATAATTTTGAGGGAAAGAACCTCAGACACCTTATACAGAACTCTTAACAAGAGGGTAATTAAACTAGCTGGCATTCAAACTAACAAACTGAATTAGCAACAACATTCCTCTTTTAAGGGCTGGATCTTGTGGAGCCCATTATACATCTAATACCTGCAGGAATGATTGTGTGTCAGGTCAAAGTACTTGAGCGGAGCATAAAAACCCAGCAAACTCTGGATTATTTGACCCTAATATGATAAAAAAAATTCTGGAGAATTTATTCAGCTATAACATTCGCTAGATGCAATTACACACAACCACACAGTAGGAGGGGATAAGATGGCAGTTCTAAAATCTAATATAACAGGGTGTAGGTAGAGATTTGGTGAGTGAAGCATGAATTCTATTTCATTCCATTTCACATTAACTCACAACGAAATGGAGATGGATATATGGATGATGAGATTTATAGGATATTCCTAATGCTACAGACTACGCGTTTACGGATTAAAAATCGACAGATCACTGAACTGCAGCCCGAGCAGGATCTGAAAACCTGTTATTATTGGTGTTGATCACTTATGAAGTCACCGCTTCGAGTGTTGAAGAGTCCAAAATGTAGGACAAAACGCCTGAGTCGCTTAATAACTAATGCGTTGGTTCATGACGAAATTTGACAATTCAAATTGTTGTAATTACTATCATTACTATTATTATTATTATTATTATTATTACGCATCTGATTACCCGCAAATCTCCTATTCTGACTATATGTATTTCCTCACCACTCGATTTCACTTTCTCTTTCTCTTTTCTAAATGTCTTATTTCGAAAGTATTTAAAATAGAACACAATTCACACAATCAATAATCTGAACGGTGTTCACAATCGGAAAAATATTCTCCACTAGACATTTGACCTGCTTTTTATTTGATTCCTTAGTGAATGAGATTAGAAATGTCAGCCTGAATTTCATCGATTTCTATTTTCTGACTGAGTAGTCATCCCATCAAGGTTATTCACACTGACCGGCAAAATCATCATAAAATTGAATGAATTCAAGAATTCGTTCATTTGACAAACAGACTATGCTACAGTTCACTTCTCTTGGTGTCTGGTGTGTTCTGATTATATTTCTCCTTACATTAAACCATGTTCTGGTATTAAAAGTATAATATCGAATCCAGTGTATCGAACTCGCTCATCAAATAAAGTTGACGCACTGTACGAGAATGAATGGCGTGAGATTCCTAAACGATCTGTGAGTGTGTTTGGTGCGGTGAGAAATAATACCCTGTCTGGTCAAGATAAGTTGCGCACACCTGTCATGAACACGATTCTTAGTCCGACTGGATTTCAATTCGTTGGAAGAGATGATGGATCTTCATTGTATTCTGCACCGGAGAATAAAGTCTCATCACAGAGGCAGGAACAACCGCAATCTCAGCCAATCTCAAAACGGATTACAGAGGAGGAATCAGAGAAATTCACTGGTAATCTAGATGACTCTGATAGTAGTCATTTCAAAAATAACCCATCGGTGAATGAACAGTTGAGTCGTGAACAATATCCCATCTGGAATCTGCGGGCGAAAAATGGTCTTTATCGTGGTCGACAAGCTGTATTAACATCAGCAGCAGAACCACCACCACCACCACCAGCGAGAACTCCCTCACTGCTCACACCATATGCCACAGGTGTACCTCACGCAAATCGGAAGAATCTGTTTTATCCGAAATATACAACAGGTCTGAATACACCGGTTCAACAGGATACACGTTGGCGAAGAACCTCACTATTTTCACTGCCATCATCCAATATGCTTCGGTATAACAGATTCTGCGGAATATCTATTGAACTCGCGAATTCGAGGTACTCAACCTCAATCAAGCTTGATTTTTAGAAAACCACCTCGCGTCCCTGTTGCAAGGCAGTATGCGCAGTCCAATCAACCTCAGCACTTCAGCCGGAAGTGAGTAGAAAATTGCAACCGTATGGACAGGTGGTGACGCCACATGATAACACGATAAATCCTAGAAGTCTTTCGAATATAAATCGCAATGATGGAATAAGAAGATTATTTGGGTAATTTGATTGTGTAAGCCATTTTAGACGTTTAAATTGAATGAAGTAATAAAGACTGTTTTGATGTGTCATATGCCTTTTTCATTAGTTTCATTGCGTTTCACATCTAGGGATTCCGTTATATTGTGGTTGTTGATATTATTATCCCATAATTAGCTGGTGATTCCGAATACATTGAAAGGTCCTAGAAATGGAGAATAGTTTTGTTATTTTTCGAACAAAAACATATAAGTTTGGCTTATCTTCAGGTGGACTGTGATGGCTTCAGCCAAGTATAAGTCAAGGACGAATTTGTAAAGTGAAATAGGTGATGGATAACTTCGAATGCCTTGTTAAGACATCGAGTTAACGTTCAGTGTTTACGACGGTTGAGAGGTGAGCCAGAGAGCTACGAGTAGATGCTATCTGCCGCTGTCTGAGTAATCGCTCCATGCAGGTCGCAGAATGTTTAGAGAAGTATGATGATGAACATGTCTAAAATAGGAGCCTCTACACGTATAACTCGCTTCGCAGGAACAGTAACAGTGTGGTAGATACACATTGTTGTAGATGACGCGATATTAGGAATTTTTTTCCTTCACGTTCCTAGTGGAACAGAGGGCCTCAAGCTAGTGGCATGAAGTTTCTGTAGCCATGTTTAATTTTACGGGATGGGGTTGCTAGCCTAACGCCCAACATCTCTTCTGGCGAGTGCGTCGGCCGGGGACGATATTACGTAGTCAAACGTTTACTCCGTAATCACTTGGTAATACTGACTAAGAATACCCTGAATGAAAGGATTGAATATTGAGATGTTTGTGATTACCTGGACACGAGTGCAGTGAAGCAGATGTGTTGGAAATGTGATCTATTTATCTGTGCTTAAATTGAATGGAGTTTTCTATTCTCGAGGTGATTTGGTGCCTGATAGCGTGTGTTTTAGCTCTCGTTTCATTTTTGTAAGCAGTCAGTAGGAGGATGCACCTTGTAACAAGCGTTGTTCATGAATGGAGTTATAAATTTATCAGTGTAAGTGGTATATGTGGAACAGTTTTGAATTCCACATCAGATAGATTGGAGATGGAAGACAATCTGATAACCGTTATTTACTGGATTGACTTTTATGATGGTCGTGGCAGGAACAGTAATAGTTAGATGCATTTCCTTTGATGAATATATATCTTGGGCTTTATTTCTGTTTGGATCGTTTTTGCCTAAGCTATTACCTGACCGATGCCTTGATATCACTGCCTTTGCAAGAGATTTCATTGGATTTTGTGTGTGTCTGAAGGACTTCACTTTGAATGGGGCTAAAAATCTTGAATTTACGAGATGTTTTGTTGCCAAGTTATACACACCCTGGCGTCCTCCCCTCGGTAGCCAGCCAGGCTGGATAGTGTTTTCGAGCACCTTGTACATTCGGATGAGTGGTACGCACTAACGTATTTGGCTATACAGGAGGGAAGTTGACATATATATATGCGTCGCATAAGTACAAATATTTTAACTGTAGTTTAGGTGAATAACAGAGTGACTTGAAGTATCAGTGATGATTATTCCCATCTAGAGATTATGGATGAAAACAGAACACGTAGTTCAGCGAATCTTCCCTTCACCTCTGCTTTCTGCGAGTTCATTTCCTCTCACCCCTTAGCTTTAGTTTCGAATTTATGTAAAATATATTTTCGATGAGAGAGGGTAGTGGCGAAATAGATGATTCATTGTCAAAGTGCAATGTAACGCTCAATGTGAGCTCGCTCGCGACCATTAGGCTAGTAGAACAGGGGAATTCAATCCTAGTTCAGTTCTAACAGGGAGTCAATGGTTCTTCATCTGTTATCCGTCTGTGATCAATTCTTACCGATTTCCATGGAGTGGTTTTATATTTAAGATGTAACTAGTGAGCGACATGAAAGCACGTCATCGCTGCTAATCTAAATTAACTGGAACTGTTTATTTAGGCTTGATAATATGAGACGAGAGTGGATACTGTTGAACTGCTTCACTGACATCCTTGGGAGTAACTGTTTGAGCTCTGATGTCATTACGACCAGTCTCCAATTTCGTCATCAGAATATGTATTAAGTAGACAACAGGTTACTGACTTCTCCGTTCCCTGACGGAGTTGGTAATCCTTTTTGTCCAGAAAACTGTCGGATCTTCATTATGCGGCAGGAGATTTCTGAAGCGTATGGAAGTGGTGACTGGCCAGCTGAATGACTGACTAACTGACTGACTTAACACTGGTGTTGACAATTTGAATCTAGTGATGAGGAATCTAACTGATGGATACATTTCTAGTGACAATATCCTACAGATCATTATTTGTTAATGAAAGGACAGAGATTCAACGAGGACGGT